CAGTCAGTCAACTGAATTGATGGCTCATTAACATTTACTGATTCCTTTTAATGTTTCTTCATTCCAAAAGTGTTCATGAACCTCTCTCCTTTTTAATGGTCCTAATGTCCCACTATTCAAACTGTCCTTCAAACTTCTGCAATTGTGCTGTTTTGTGAGCCATTCCTGGTAATGTCTCTCTAGTTCATGGCCCTGCAGATTTTGTTTTTAGCTCCAACTAAAAACCGTAACTCAGGTGTGGTAATATTATCTCATATGTCAAAGTGACGCATTGGAGACACTGTCAAGACCTTCAACAAGATCAGATTTTGCTTCACAAATTTGAAAAAAAAGATGTACATTTAAATATGATGACTACAGGACACTATCTTTTGACTATCTGACCACTTTTGCCTAGTTTCTTGTGTTCTGTTAAGCTTAATATATAATCTAGCAAATTAGTACACATTCCACTAAAGTTGTATTTGTTTTTGTTTTAATTAAATGGTATAATATAGTACTAAGCTCCTAGCATATTAGTAAAGCTTCTAATTTCTCTTTAATTGGAGAAAAATATGGATTGTGTTTATATGTAATAATGCACCGCACCATCTGCACGCCCATTTTCAAAACCCTAGATCTGCCCATGGGGCCTCCCATCAATGGTCACTGTTATGAGACATGAACAATATGTTTACCTTGAGTTGCTATAATTATAGATTTGTCTGGATTTAAGTGGATCTTTTTATTCCTGTGAATTTTTTTTTTTACACTGGTGTGTGTGTGTGTGTGTGTGTGTGTGCGCGCGCGTGTACGTACCTGTCTGTCTGTCATGCATACACACTTAATTGTCTACAGTACTGTAGACAGCTTGGATCCCAAGCATTCAAAAATTGAGTCAACTTCAAAAATAACAAAACTGACTTAACAGTAAGGAGACCTTTAAAAATTACGAGCACAAATCCTTCTTATCCTTTAGGGCTCATGTTTTTTCAGCTTTTCTCTGCACCCAGGGGAGCTCAAAATGTGCTTGCCTAAAAAAATGGGAGCTTGAATTTTTGTCACATGATAATCTGACTCCAGGAGTCATTTGTTTAAGAATATCTCCAAATATTTTAATATCTTTTTAAAATAAAATTTAAGACTAAGCTATAATCCTGTAACTCCAGGAGGCCTTAAAAGAAATAAACCCACAAGGCTCATGGCAAAATAGTTTGAGTTGGAAGCACTTGGTGTGCCACACTACAACTTATGAGCAAATGGGCTATGCTGCTGCTAACGTTTTCTGCTGATTTTAACTTAATACCAGACATTTGCCTGAAAAGATGCAGGGAAGATCTGTTTTGACACTGAGCCATATATCTGTTGCAAATAACTCCCAACATTAATATATTTGTACATGGTGCCTGCAACCTCAGGAAACCTCAGTAGGTTGCTACTATAATTTCTTTTGAAATGCTTCTTGGGCTGAATGGCTATTGCAGGAAGTAGCTGAATCTGTATCTCCTTTATGGGTGGATATTACCATATTTTTTAAATGTATATTTGATAGAATATGCTGAATTTTTATTTTGTTTCATAGGGATAATAAATAAATCCAATTTTCTCTTTGTATAATCTGTGACTTTTTTTTATCCAAGATACTAGAAACACATTACTTAAATGCTTGTCCCCCTGCCCCCACAAAAGGATTTTTGATTAAATCGATAACTTCAGTAACGCGTAGAAAAGCTTTTAGTTTGATTTATCTCTTGTATCTTTGCAAAGAGTTGGTTTCAAAAATTTTTTTTAAAAATGTGAAAAAGATCTTTTTCAACTAAAAAGGCTGCTTGAACCATTTTTTTGACCAGATGCCCTGGTGGGATATTTAATGTGGCTAGTGAAAAATGACCTGTCTTTCTCTGGTTTTACCTGGTACCCAGGACACTGGGACTCTGGACACTGTTTAATTTCCTTGTCGCTAGTATTGTCACCTCTAGTTAATGCTCTGTTCCAGTCTGGTAGATTTAGGCTTCATTACAACTCTAGGGTGCGTGGTTTTTCTACCATGAAATGTATCTACTTGATGAGGTCATCCCATTTAGCAGTTTTCCCTAAGCTTTTTCCATCCTTGAAATTTCTTTAGGCAATTTGAAGAACAGGATTTTGTTGTTTTTTTCCTTATATGCTACAGTATCAAGAGTAGTTTTCATTTTAATCTTATTTCCCTTAGGAAACCACCCTGTTACATGAAATATGTTTTTTTTTTTTTTTTTCTTTTCTGTATTCTGAATGGGCAGGTGATGGTGGGGTTGGGCCTAGTTATCAGGTTGAAGATCCAGCCACTCTTGGGGTGCTTCTTTGCTGTGGTTACATGCTTTTGCTAGTTCATTTCAAAGCCCACTCCATCTACCTGCTCCTTCTTGACTGCTCCACACCTGGGAATGCACAGGATTCTTTTTTGTGGTCATCCAGGATCCTTCTTTGTGGCCCTCTCAAGCATGTTGAACAGTGAAATCCCAAGAGCAGCTATAGAGGATGTCCCAAAGTCACCTCACCAGTGTGTTTCCAGATTTGGGTGGGCAGAGCATGTTTGGCAATGGCACATTCTGACGGTATAGACCTGCTCTGGGACAGGGGTATTCTGTATAGATTATTAGATGCTTTGCATCTGTCATACTTGCATGTAGCAAATCCAATGGCTAACCTGAGTTATAATTTGATGTGGAATAAAAGAAAGAAGGGGCTGGCTTTGTTGCTGAGGCTGGTACTCGGGAGTCCTAGGATTAATCCTAAAACCTGTCTACTTGAGTAGAATTGACCAGATGAGCTACTTTTAAATAAATCATCACTCGAACACTACTGCAAAACAAGAGTAGTTTTGTTTGTTTGTTTTTTATTCATAATTTAATTACTTTCCCTTTTTGAAGCATACTAATTATTCTGGAATAAAAATTTATTCTAGTACACAGTGTCCATACATGAAGCTATGTTAAAACAGCTATTGTAGAATAGCTTATCCTTCAGTAATCATTCCAGTCAATTTCCTCATAACAAAAAATCCCAAGTTACTTTCCATGCCTCAGTTACCCATATATAAAAGGTTTTTTGTTAACAGAACCGTCTTGAGAGGAGCGTTGTGAAGAAGGATGAATTCGCTAATGTTTGTGAAGTTCTTGACTACAATAAGGACAGTGACCATATAGATATTTGCATAGACAATTTTATAATCTCATCTATCCTTGCCAGTCATTCCTTATAGAAGTGAGAATTGGAATACTTTAAGGGTACATTAATGAACCAAGCCTCACAGGAACTCTGAAGAGCAGATGTAAGTGCTTTGGTTTTCAGCTGGTTTCTACAGCTGAGGAACATCCAGTGTTTTCCAAAGAAAGAAAACTGAAATGACGTATTGCAGGAGAATTCTGAGGCAATGTCCAGAACTGAACTGGTATCTCACAAGATCTGGGCATAGCCTTCAGCCCAGGGCACTTACCAAGTTTTGGCAAGCCATCAAAGGCTACATGATGGGCAGCCAGGGGCAGATGAATATAAATTTTCTAATTTTTTTTAGGGGCCCTGCAGGCTGGATAGAATGGCCTGGCAGGCTGCATTTTGCCCACCCCTGCTTTAGCCCCTAGGTAAGCCTTTGACTTCTGTGCAACTTGCTTTTCCTTCATATGTTCCTGAATTTATTGGCCCATCCCTAATTTGCAGTACTTGCTATTTAACAATTTGGTGGAAGAATATTTATCTACTAGTTTCTCAGGGCAGAACCTCTATCCCTGTGAGTTGGAATAGTCTCGTATGATCAGAGAGGTGATTATGGACAGTGGTAAGGTCATCACAGTTGACTTTTTCCATTGCTGGCACAGAGTATGTTTGTTTCTATTGACTTTGTTAGTAAAGCAGCTTTTCTTCTTTTAACATTACTGCAAAGTTATTTATGTGACAGTGTTTGTTATTTTACCTGAAGTAACAATCAAATCTGATTCAAAGGGAAGATGCACAATAAAGACAGGAAAAGGTCAACTTCCTGAATAACATTAAAGACATTTGTCAGAGTCAAAGAGGACTGGATTCTGCTGCTATCAACCTATTTCAGATTTAATTTTGCACAGGGAAAGGAAAAAGGTCTTTGTCAATTCTTTCTTTCTTTCGCTTCTTGGATCAATTTTCCCAGTGGAAAAGCAAACACGCAGCAAAAGGATGCAGTAGCAATGACAGCAACAGAAGCCTTGAAGGCAGAGGGGCCATCTTGATTAATATGTAGAGCAAAGGGACAGAAAGCAGGGTTTCTGGGTACTAATCCTAACTGCTAGCAGTGTGTAGTGCAGTTTTAAGGCACACTTCACTTCTGTCTCAGTATTCCTCTGTTAAATAGAGATGATATCTATCTTACAGTGTGGGGGCATAATTGTTCTGCAGGGGGAAGAGATGATTCTTGTATGGAAAATTCTCATTTCCTGATGCTTTCCAAGTAAGGAAGCTGTTCTCTCAGAGGACTGCTGCAGGGAGGACCTTGAATGAAGAACAGGAGAAATGCATTGTATAATAAAGATTCTCCAAGGGCCAGCCTCTCTTTAAGAGTGGCACGCTTTCCAAAAGCATTAATCTCCGAGGTCTTTTTTTCCCATTTGTTTTCTGGGTTGTTCAGTCAGACCTAGAGGAATGTTTGGCTTTGTTCTAGTTTCAAAGGCTTACTTTTTATAATTTCAGTGTGTGTTTATTTTTATCTTGAACTTTAGCTTTAAATCTTAAACAGAATCTGTAGTACTCACTTCATAAAGAGAGAGAGAAATGTTCAGTTTAAACATTTGGACAAGGTGCAGAGCCATTCAGCTCCTGGTCACCGACTCAGATTTGAGCCCAGACTGGTAATGCCTGAAGGTAGTAGTGGTTGGGTTTTGTTTTTGTTTTGGTGGACCAAGTTAGACATGAGTTTGCATCTCTAGTCTAAAAGCCAGTAATGCTAGTCCCAGTCACCAAAATCCCAGTGGCTTGTGTTGGTTACTATATCTTTCATTCTACCCTACTTTTAGATTCTCCTGTTCACACCAATTCCACGCCTGTGAGCCCCTCATTGAGCCTTCACACAGGGAATTCAGTGGATGGCCATCTTAACTACATCGAGGCTCCAGTGAGTGCTGCAAGGACAATTTCATCCCCAATGAATGCTATAGGGTCTTCTATGAATGCTCTGGGTTCACCATACAGAGTCATAGCTTCATCCATTGGATCTCATTCTGTTTCTCTGTCCTCAAGTCCGGGCATGAATTTTGTATCTCATACAAGTCCTCAGGTAGGCAATGTTTACTGTCCTTATATTATAAACTGGGTTTGTTTCAATTATGAATGATAGAGCTGGAACACTTGGAGGAATTTTTACTTGTTGAATTTGAGCCATTTATAGGGATTTGATCTGACAAGGCTTCTCTCCCTTTTGATTGCTTCTGCATAGAAGTCCCATGAATATGAAGAGAGAATATATTTTGTTACATAATGAATAGTTGTTAGAGAGAATTAATTCCTGATTCAGTTCCAGGCTAAAGGGAGCCATGCAACTGGTTAAGCTTTATGGAAAAATAGAGATTGAGACACCCTGTAGGCCTTTTCTAAGCCAAGAATCTCTTGCTGTTGAATTTCTGTTTCATATTTACACAATTGGTGTGGCCTTGATCCTTTTTTAAAGCAAACACAAAAGAATGGAAACATAAAAGCGAGATACAAGTCATGGAAATAAAATCTACACATATAATATTACCTTGTTCCTGAGCTTATTTGTTCACAATCTGCAAAGCTGTTTGAAAAGTTCGTTAAAAATTCAAAATTTTAAATAAAAATAAAGGAAATTTTAAATCCCTATCCTCCAGTTCTTCAGTCACCTTCTAGCAATATGTTGGCAGTGCAGGATCATACCCTACAATATGTTTGCATCTGCTTTAATGAGGTCAATTTCCCAGTCAAGTGTCCCAACCAAGATTAGCCAAAGAAAGCAAAATGTCAGCAATGGAAGCCCTAAATCTCATTGTGTTGTAATACCAAGAAGCTACTTGATAGTATCACTTCATTGGGATTGAGTTTAAGACCTGTTTTGTGATACAACATCTTTGAAGATAATATTATGTTTCGTATTTCTAGTAGGGAGAAAAACAAGAATGGGATTAAAGTACCTCAAGTATCCACTGTAAATGCATGCTGCCATCATGCCTAGCAACTTGCTTTAATATGAACAACAGTGGGCCTGAGTCTCAGTTTTATACTAAGACAGGCAAGGTGCTTTGTGATACTCTGATATCTTTTTATTAGACCAACTCAAATAGTTGAAAAAAATTCTTCTTTGCAAGATTTTGGGCACAAACACCCTTTATCAGGCTGTGGAAGTATCTGCAGTTGGTCTGTGCTCTTTCTGGATGGAAGCCCTTTGGGTTTATTATACTAAGACCTTTGGGCTACCCTGGCAGCATCAAGGGACTTCAAAATAAATATAATCACCACCCCCCCATGAAACAGGAAGACAGGAGGCCAGTGTCAGGTTAGTCAAAGGGGTACACAGGACCCCTGAATCCTTGTTGCAGTTGAAATGCAGTGTACTTCAGCTATTTCCTGCTTATCTAGAAAGATATCAAAACCAGAGAAAAAGTTACAGCAACTCTGGGGCAGCTCTAACTTATGCCAGAGCACCACATACAGAGTGCACCCTGTGCTGGCCCCCTTGTGCATGTGTGCCATATAAAAGGAATGCAGAAGTGGTTTACAGCAGGGGTGTCAAACTCACCTGGCCAGTGGACCAGATGAGGGGCATTGTGGTGGTCTGCAAGCTAGACTGCAGCTAACCCCCTGTGCAGTGCCTGCAGTGCCAGTTCCAGGCCATGTGCTTCACGCAGCATGCCTGGCCCTAGGGCTCATTGTCCACATCCTGCACGGCCAGCACGGGTCATGTGCTTTCTGTGGCATATGGGCCAGACCCAATACTGTAGGCAGAATGGGTGTGGGGTTGGTCCAGGGTGCCACAGACAGCCCACACCCCAGATCCCCTGAGCTGCATGCAGAGCTGGGTCCAGTCCATGCGTCATGGGCAGCGCACACTCCATGCTGGTTCTGTGTGTACAGTGAGCCCTGTGGCTGGGGCATGGTATATGTGGCATATGGGACTGGATGGCCACATGTACTGCATGCTGCACAGGGGGCAGGCATGGGGTGTGTGCGGCATGTTGCACTCCACTGGACCTGCCTTGTGTTCTGGTTCCAGTACAGCCTGATCTAGACTGGTTCCAGAGCCAGCATGCAAGGCCAGTCTGGAAGAGAATCACATACAGGCCATATTGGCCCCCTAGTCGGTGTGTGGGATTGGGTCCAGCCTGGGTGCTGCATGCGGGGCTGGGGCTTGGGCCAACAACTCATGGGCTGGATCACGTGGCTCCACAGGCTGGATCCAGCCTGTGGGCTGTACATATGGCACCCCTAGTCTAGTTTCTCCCATCTATACTCCAAGTGCAGAAATGGAGAAACTGAGAAGCAAATCAACGGTATTTTGTAGCTAACACATTAATTTGACAACACAGTAAGGCTAGCCTGGGGTTTAATATTCAGCACCATGGACAGGTCACAAAGGAGAAATCCCAGAGAAACTGGAAGAGCAGGAGGGAAATACTACTGATGTCAATGTGTTAAATTTACCACCGTTGTGCATTCTATGAGGCAAGCGATTGCTATCAGGTTTGGCTGCAGAAACCATCATCTGTACGTCATATATGGCTAGGCACATGTGGTACAAAGTGAATCATGCTGAGGTATTCATTTAGATTTCTCTCTGTTTCTAACTGAGCTGAAGCTTAACCCCGGCTCTAGAAAATCATTCAAGAGAGAATACAATTTAAGCAGTTTAGTGTGTGTTTTGAGGTCTGTGTAGCTGAATAACTCATGAGTGGTGTGTTGTTCCAATCTTTCCAAACCATACACTAGACTAGTACAACCTCCATCCTTTTCCATACCACCCCATATCCCCTGTGGATTCTACATTCCCCTCACTGTAAACTAGGATCAACTCCACTGAAATGGGACCAGTGCTTTCCAAGATTACTTCAATGTTCAGCTAAGGTTACTTCATTGATTTCCATAGAGTTACTTCACTATGCTAGAGCAGTGCTGGAGAAAACTGGACTTGGGTTGGATTTGTTGAAACCAGAAAGCTAAGAGACAGAAGTTTTTGCTCTGACTTGCATGCAGAGACTGCAGTTGTCTGTGACTATTGTTCATTGGTCCTGTCAATCTTCCCACCGTTCATCTGTGCAGGAGCCAAGGATGATACAGCATAAGACAGATTCCATAAAGACACCTAGAATGCTGGGGAAGAAAGTTATTAAGCAGTTTTTCAAACACCCGCTATATATTACACACACGTCAAACAATCCTACGGTTTATCGCAAGGAAGTTTAATTTCTCTGAAAAAAACTACTTTGTTTTCATCATTATGCATCTCTGTCCTGGCCTCCAGCACTTTTAGAAAATCTTTCTCTCTGCTTCATCCCTGTACTTCTAGATTTGCTTAAGTAGTTGCTTAAAAGTACCAAAGACCTCTTTTTCAGTCTGGTAAAGGAATATTGTTATGTCATTATTGAAGGGCAGGGGAAGTGGGACTCCTGGGTTACACTCCTGGCTGTGCTGTTAAAACACATCAACCAAGATTGAAGAAGCTTTATTTATACAATCCAGAAGGACAAAGACTTAAACGCTGGACACAATACCAGGACGCATGTAGCATCAGGTAACAAATGAAAGGGGTATTTTTTTCAGATGATAATGGGACAAAGACCAATGGCCTGAAACTGAATGGAAAGCTAAAGCTGCTTATTGGTTAAACATTTGTAAGTGGGAGACAAAGTAGGTGGTAAGAGGTGCACTCAGGGTAAGTGCTAGGAGGACCAAGACTGTAGCCAGGGAGGGACAGGTTAGATAGAATGGCAACATTTTAAAATTTTTTTTCCAAATGGGGCTGGTTGGAATTTTTCTATTTTTTAAATAATAATTCGTCATGGAAAATAGTTATTTCCCCTAAAGCAAAACCTTTTGGAAAAGCTCTTTCCTTGTCTAAACTTTTTCAGTTTAAATTTTAAAATTTTGAATGGTATGTGTCTGGTGTGAGGATGGGGTTCACTGCCTGTCCCACAGAGTAAATGCTCAGGTTTCTAGGAGAAAATTTTTCACTAATTCTCTTCATCACGGCAATATCCAGGGGTTAAAATATATGTCCAAAGCACAATTGGAGTTGCAGCTAGCAAGGGACATGAAGGGTTTCTATAAGTATGTTTGCAGCAAGAGGAAGGTCGGAAAGTGTGAATCCCTTACTGAATGGGGGAGGCAAACTAGTGACTGATGATGAGGAAAAAGCTGAAGTACTCAATTCCTTTTTCATCTCAGTCTTCACAGACAAGTTCATCTCCCACACTAGTGTACCTGGCAGCACAGTTTGGGGAGAAGGTGAGCAGGCCTCATTGTTGAAAGAATAGGTTGGGAACTATTTAGAAAAGCTGGACACATACAAGTCCATGGGGCTGGATGCAATGCATCTGAGGGTGCTGAGGGAGCTGGCTGATGTGATTGCAGAGCCGGTGACTACTATCTTTGAAAAGTCCATGGCGACTGGGGGAGGTCCCAAATGATTGGAAAAGGGAAAATATAGTGTCTATCTTTAAGAAAGGGAAGATGGAAAATCCAGGGAACTACAGACCAGTCAGCCTTACCTCAGCCCCTGGAAAAATCATGGAGCAGGTCCTCAAGGAATCCATTTCTAATCACTTAGAGAAGAAGGTGATTAGGAACAGTCAGCATGGATTCACCAAGGGCAAGTCATGCCTGACCAACCTGATTGACTTCTGTGATGAGATGACTGGCTCTGTGAATGTAGGGATGCAGAGAAAGCAATGGACATAATATACCTTGACTTTAGCAAGGTTTTTAATATAGTCTCTCACAACATTCTTGCAAGAAAGCTGAGGAAGTATGGGTTGGTTGGATGAATGGACTATAAAGTAAATAGAAAGCTAGCTGGATTGTCGGGCTCAATGAGTAGTAATCCATGGCTCAATGTCTAGTTGGCAGCCAGTGTCAAGTAGAGTGCTCAGGGGTCAGTCCTGGCACCAGTTGCGTTCAATATCTTCATTAACAATCTGAAAGATGGGATGCATTGCATTCTTAATAAGTTTGTGTATGACACCAAGCTGGGGGATGTAGTAGATACACTGGAGAGTAGGGCTAGGGTTCAGAGTGCCCTAGACAAACTGGAGGATTGGGCCACAAGAA